TATATATATATATATTATTTTTTAATTTAAGAGATTAGGTGAGTCATGGCTATTTGGGTTAATTCTTCAAAATGAAAGCCCATGACATGATGGCCCAGAAGTTCAGGCCCAAATTTAAAATTGCACAAACTAGATTCTCCAGTCACCGGCGCAGCAAACATCAGTAGCCCCTACTCTACAGCAAAACCCCAATTTACGCCGCCACATTTTGCAGCATGGCGACGCTAAAAGAGATCTTAACACGCCGCCCTATCTCAGCCACGATCCGTCTCACCGTCGATGCGGGTGCAGCTAAGCCCGGACCACCAGTAGGCCCCGCCCTGGGTCAATACAAACTCAACTCCATGGCTTTCTGCAAGGACTTCAATGCTCGGACCCAGAAGTTCAAGAGCGGTACACCCATGGCCGTAACCATTACGGCGTTCAAGGATGGTACTTTCGAGTTCACCGTTAAGTCTCCTTCAGTTACTTGGTACCTAAAGCAGGCTGCTGGAATTGAGCTGGGAAGTGGCCGCCCTGGTCATGTAACGGCGTCAACTCTAACCCTAAAGCACGTTTATGAAATTGCTAAAATCAAACAGAGTGATCCGTTTTGCCAGTACATGCCCTTGGAGTCGATTTGTAAGTCTATTATTGGGACGGCGAATTCTATGGGGATTAAAGTGCAGAAAGAGCTGGATTAAATGAAACTATTGAACGGTATTTTTGCTATTTCTGTAGTTTTGTACTAAGATTTGGAAATGAAGAGTAGTAAAGTTGGTTGAAGTAATGATTTTGCTGTTTAAGGAAGCATGATATGAATTATGAATGTTTTCTTAGCAATAAAGTTAGTTTTTTTAAGTCCATTAGAGTTGTTTGATCAAGATTAATGCTTTTTGATACCGTTATTGTGAATCAAGAAGAATGAGCTAACCTATGTGGATTCTACTGCCTCTCTTTTTCTATTTGTGTGTGTAAGCATTAGTTATCATAGGTAGAGCCGAGGATGGAAAATTAGACTGATCATTTTTGCTATTGATACAAGGTCTGTTACCATGGTAGTAATCCTTATATGGTGCAATCTTGGTTTAGGGAAATGTTCCTTTATAGGTTAGAGAATGGATGGCTGCGGTAAGAAGGATGTAGCCAACGAATAGCGGTTACTAAAATGGTGTTATGTCAGATTGATTCATACTTGGTGCATGTTGTCACAACTTATTCTGGATTTTTGAATTGTATGTTCAAGTAACTGTCTGTTTTTGCCTGTTGCTCTGGATACTTCTGACAGAATTGGATTATACAGGGAATATTAGCACGACTCCTGCTGAATGATGACACCCACGAAAAGGGAAAAGGTTCAAAAGTTAGCCTGTGTTTGTCACAGAATAAGACAGGTTCTGTAGTGTTTTCTCACGGATTCTTTTCTTTGAAATTTAGCTCGTTTATTTGATAAGTTTGCTGAGTTCTCTGCTGTTAGTTTTGGCGTTCATCTAGAAAGCACTCCGTGCAATTTTTTAGTCAAGTCTTCCTTTTCTACATTTGCCGTTTCACAATTTTTTTTACTCTTCCATTGGAGGTAGTCTCTAATCTTAGTCTTATAAAATAGACCATATCTTTAATGCCCTAATGTAAGTATAGATTCCATAGCCACCTCTTGCATCGAGTTGGGAGCTTGGTGTCTGTCTTATCTTTAATTATCAGTCCCTCTTAGCATCCTTAAGCTGTTGAAACCATAGCTGCCTGTGTATTTTCTTTGCCATATCCTATTCTTTTCCTCATTTTATGCATCTAAGTTTCCTGACAGGAGATTGTAAGCCAGTTGTCAGGTTTGATCATTGATTGCCATTTTCCGTAAATGTTGTTCTTTAACTATTTACTAGAGTACTTGAAAAGCCCTTACTGAGAACTTCTGCTTAAGTGTAGTAGGCATCTACCTAGTAGGTTCTTGCTTTTCTTTTATCCTTGTTACCTTAAGTCTTAACAGCTCTGTAATTTGAGCGATCATTGTTGCATATCTAGAGCTAAATGAGATAGATCTGGCATTGCTGGTTGTACATATAGAGCATTGCAAATTGTAACCCCTCTCTCTCTCTCTCTCTCTATATATATATATATATATATATGACTGCAAATGATTAGTGTTGAGTTCTCACTACACTTTCGTTCATCTTAGTGTCGGGCTTTATCTACTGGTTATTATTGTGCTTTTTTTTTTTTTTTGTATATAGTAGTAATAGAGAAAAATGAAAAATCAAATCTCAGGAGTATGCTTTTGGATATTCAGTGAGTTGCTGTGAGTCATCTCGAATGCTTTTTTCTTTTTGAAAAATATCACTGAAGCTTCTTTTTTGTTTTCACCATCAAAATTTCAGATATATTTCCTGATAAGTTCCTGTAAAGTACAACACTAGTACAAGTGTACAATACTATGGTTCTTATGTTACCTGCCAATGCAGTTGTGAATTGGAGAGTCCAAATGGATTGACATATCTGTACAAGATATCCTGCGAACTTTTGAGCACACAAATGAGTAGTAGGTTAAACATATATACATAATTAGTGTTTACCTTATCAATAAAATACATAAATACATAGTTAGATTCATTAATTTGCGTATTAGGCAGAAGAACATCATGGAAGATTACAATAAAAGTGAATTTCAAGTGATATACATATAATTGACACCCTTTCGCCAGAAAATTAAGTTATGTAGATAAGTAAAAATTCTTTATATATTAATTTTGTATATCTAATTTCTTATATTTAGACTCTCATTGGTGAAAATTCTGGACTCTTTGTGTATTAGGTCTTTATGATAAAACCATTTTTTATCCTACAATACAACATATCCACATTGATGTTGGTGTTGCTTTCTTGTTCCTACTGTATAGGTTAAAATCTGCCTCAAGAAGATTTAACATGAAGCGATGTTAAGAAAAGTAATGTGGTCAACGTCGACTAGTAAACAGTAGGGATCATAGTCGGGGAGTCAACAATGGTCGAGGTCAAGTATCAAGAGCAGTAGTAACGGAGGTGGTACTTCGCTGTTAGATTTCGCTAAGGCTTTTGTGCTGGTGACTGTGAACTCGACTTTTCCAAAGAGGGAGGAACATCTAGTAACTTTCCAAAGTTCGGCGGTGAAGACTCGGATAAATTACCTTCTCTTCAGAAGGTGTGATAGAGGGTTGTGCAAGGATTGCAAGGTTATCCCGGGAGAGACCCTCGCGACTCAGCATAGGCTCTTAGTAATGGACATCGGCATTATGATAAAGAGGAAGAAGAGGTATGCTCGTGGTCGACCGAGGATTAGATGGGGAGCTTTAACCAATGATAAAGCCCAGGAGTTGGAGGGGAGGTTATCCGCTATGGGAGCTTGGAGGAGTAGTGGAGACGCGAGCACTATGTGGTCAACGACGGCGAACTACGTGAAGGAGGCGGCGAGAGAGGTGCTAGGGATATCGAAGGGTTTTCTGGAGGCATCAAGGCGACTGGTGGTGGAATGACGTAGTCCAAGGTAAAGTAGAGGCGAAAAAGGTAGCGAACGCAAAGTTGGCAGGGAGCACAAGCGAGAAGGAGAGGAAAGAGAATAGAGAGAGGTACAAGGTAGCGAGGAAGGAGGCAAAGCTGGCGGTCACGGAGGCTAAGAATGCAGTGTTTGCTCGTCTATACGAGGAATTAGGGGAGAAAGGCGGGGACATGAAGTTGTTTCGGCTGGCTAAAGCGAGGGAGAGGAAGGCCTCAGATCTGGACCAAGTAAGGTGCATTAAAGACGAGGATGGTAGAGTATTGATGGGAGAGTCCCAGATTTAGCAGAGATGACAGACGTACTTCTATGGTATTCTAAACGAGGAGGGGGACCGGGATATAGCGCTAGGGGATTTGGGGCATTCAGAGAGTCTCCGAGATATTAGGTATTGCAGGCGCATTAAGGTGGAGGAGGTCGTGGGGGCTTTGCGTAAGATGAGTAGGGGTAGAGCGACCGGGCCAGACGAAATTTCGATTGGGTTTTATAAGTGTGTGGGTAGAGTAGGATTGGAGTGGCTGACTGGGTTGTTCAATGTAATTTTTAGGACGAAGAGGATGTCGGAGGAGTGGAGGTCGAGTACAGTGGTTCTGTTGTACAAGAACAAAGGTGATATCCAGTGTTGTAACAATTATAAGGGTATCAAGTTACTAAGCCATACCATGAAAGTCTAGGATAGGGTGGTGAAGGTGATGGTGAGGGTGAGGAAGACGACGTCTATATCCGACAATCACTTTGGGTTCATGTAGGGTCGCTCCACTACGGAAGCTATCCACCTTATTAGGAGGTTGGTAGAACATTACATGTATAAGAAGAAGGATCTGCACTTGGTGTTTATTGACTTAGAGAAATCGTATGACAAGGTCCCTAGAGAGGTGCTCTGGAGATGTCTTGAAGCAAAGGGCGTGCCGGTAGCCTACATAAGAGCGATCAAGGACATGTATGATGGAGCTAAGACTAAGGTTAGGACTGTGGGAGGCGACTCAGAGCATTTTTCGGTTGTTATGGGATTACACCAAGGCTCCACGCTTAGCCCGTTCTTATTTGCTTTGGTGATGGATGCACTGACACACCATATTTAAGGGGATGTGTCATGGTATATGTTATTTACTGATGACATAGTTATAATTGATGAGACGAGAGTCGGTTTTAACGAGAGGTTGGAGGTTTGGAGACAGACCCTCGAGTCTAAGGGTTTTAAATTGAGCAGGTCTAAGACAGAGTACCTGGAGTGCAAGTTTAGCGCTGAGTCGAGGGAAGTAGGCAGGGACGTGAGGCTTGGATCACAAGTCATCCCCAAGAGAGATAACTTCAAGTACCTTGGGTCGGTGATTCTGGGGGACGGAGATATCGACGAGGTTGTCACTCACCTTATAGGGGCGGGCTGGATGAAATGGAGGCTTGCATCTGGAGTCTTGTGTGACAAGAAAGTGTCACTGATACTCAAAGCTAAGTTTTCTAGAGCTGTGGTTAGACCGGCCATGTTGTATGGGGCAGAGTGTTGGCCGGTTAAGAACTCTCATATCCAGAGGATGAAGGTAGCAGAGATGAGGATGCTGAGGTGGATACGCGGGCACACTAGGATAGACAAGATTAGGAATAAAGATATTCGGAAGAAGGTGAGCGTGACCCCTGTGGATGACAAGATGTGGGAAGCGAGACTCAGATGGTTCGGGCACGTGCGGAGGAGAAGCCTTGATGCTCCGGTGAGGAGGTGTAAGCGGTTGACCGTGGTGGGTACGAGAAGAGGTAGACGACGGCCTAAGAAGTATTGGGGAGAGGTGATCAGGCAGGACATGGTACGACTGCAGATTTCCGAGGACATGGTCCTTGATAGGAAGGTCTGGAGGTTAGGCATTAGGGTTGTAGGTTAGGGGTAGTAGAGCTTTCCTTACTTCAAAATCGGGGTAAGGCGGGGTTGGATTAGGGTTGATCTTAGATTGCTTGCAGTTTATGTTGAGTCCACGCTATCCCTGCTGTTTATCTTAGCCCCGGGCCTTAGATACTTGTTACTGTTATTGCATGTCATTTATCTTTTGGTTGTTATGCTTCTGTTATTATTACGGTTTCTACTGGAGTTACTAATGAATTTTCTTTTCTTATTTTTTATTTCCGTCTTTCTGAGCCGAGGGTCTATCGGAAATAGCCTATCTGCCCTATCGGGAAAGGGGTAAGGTCTGTGTACACATTATCCTCCCCAGACCCCACTTTGTGGAACTTTACTAGGTAATTGTTGTTGTTGTTGTTGTTGTTGTTGTTGTTGTTGTTATTCTCTATACTTGTATTTTTAGGGTTGACAGGGGGTATGTCCCATATAGATAGAAAAAGAGATAAGTGGAAATGAGGGAAATCTTGATTTTGATAAGAACACTTTTTGAGAAGAAGACTCTCTCTCTAGAAAAGAGACAAACATTATCTTTCTAATAAGATTCTTCCTTCCATTATTCCATACTTTTCCATTCGATCCAATCCAAGAATAGTTCTAATATTCTAGGATTTGTCTATCACTCATCATTATCAGAAAGACGAATCATCCACCTCATTCAATATTGAGTGAATCTTCCTCCTTATTTATGTTAATACCATTTATTGTCATTTATTGAATAATATTCTCTTACCATCACTAAGACTTTTCGGAATTGTAAATGTATACTGCATTTAATCCCTTACCAATATTATCTTGCAACATTCATGCTAGCTAGTTATAAATCTAGAGATATTATAATTAACTTGGTTTAACTCCTTGTTACATAAAATTAATTAGTTTAACCAAGAAGTTACAACTTTTTGGTCAAACACCTGCCACACATTTTTAGCATTTTACTTATTTTTAATTAATGGTAGACAAGTCACTGTTAGCGAAACCTTTATAGACCATTTTAATAGAGTGAAAGCAACATTCTGTTTTTATTTCAACCTCAAACCTAAGAGAAAGACGAAAAAAAGAAAAGAAAAGAGAGAGAGAGAGAGGAAATCTCCTGCGATTTTTGGTTATGTACCACTTACCTTTCTGATGTTTCCTATATTACAGAAATCTCTATTATTTATTTAAATTTGTCTAAATTAAGGCCCTGTTTTCTAAGGGTGTATGATAATAGGTGAATTTAACTATATTCAGGCCCTAAATAACCGCCTTCTTGCATAGTTTTAATAATAAAAGTGATAACAAAATGCTCTTATTAGTGCTTTTCATGATTTGCAGGTTATATATGACTAGGGAAGGCTAGGGAGCACTTTTGGAGTCAAAAAAATGAAGAAAGAGAGGCCAACCGTGAAATGTCCCAAGTGAACCACGCAAAAATAGGCTGAAGAATCAGAAAAATGACTCTGCCGCGGTTCCACCGCGACCGCGGCAGAACCGCGGTGAAGGATGCTCGCGGATAGAAGGAGATTCAGAGGAGTTTTTTGGCCGCGTTTCCACCGCGACCGCGGCAGAACCGCGGCAGGCGCGAGAAAAGTGCAGGGACTAAAGTGCAAACACGGGATTTTTAGCCCTAAAACCTATTTTAAACATTAGACTTCGCCCAAGAGAGGCATGTATTATTTTGGAGAGTATCTTGGCAAGAAAAACAATTGTGAGAGATCACCCAAAACATCTTTCTTCTTTTCTTTGCTTTTGATTGCTTGTTTATGATGGATCTTATCTTAGTTTGTTTACCCATAGTTATGAGTAGCTAAATCTTTTGTCTAAGGTTTTGATGGAACCTATTGGAGGATGAACTTCTTGTTTATGTGAATAAAAATTGCTAGTTTCAATCTTTATTTATTCAACTATGTTCTTGTTGTAGTTAATTGATAGGATCCTCAATTAGCTGTGCCTATTTAGTGTGCATAACTCGGGAGAGAGTGCATATTTAGGTTATTGTTGAATAACACCACTCCTAAAGTATAAGAGGAATCTATAACTGCGGGTTTAAAGGCGGGATTAGGGATAACGAAGCCTTGTGTGCAATCTTAAGTGAACTGTGTTAATTAAAGCTAGCTAGTGTATCTCGGGAGAGTGCAATAGTATATTACTGTGATTACTCGGGAGAGATTTACGGTAAGAAAAGTGTTCATGATTGATAGAGGTGTGTTGGTAAATTTGTATGA